CAGACCTATGAGAAGCACTATCTTAGTCCAAACCAACTGTGCTGTAAAATATATTTGACACAACATTACATATTAAGTATTCTTGCCAAAATAAGTGAATCTGAATCTGGTCAAGCTTTTAGATGTGCTAGTTTACATAGAGGATAGAAGAACAGGTTAAATGACACCAAGGGGATACAGTCTGCCAAATACAGAACATGGGAAGTTCTGTGAGACCAATGATCCAATTTCCTCAAATAAATGCCAAGTGAAGGAGGAGGAAGAGTGCACTGTTGTAGGTTTAAAAGATTGAAGGGGCATTATTTGGATTTTATTTTGAACAGACTATAAAAAGAAGTATACAAGACTGGGAAATTCGACTGAAATTTCTACTTCAGTAGAAAGTCATACTGAGGATCTTACAGGTGAAATACGCCTGCAATTTGCTCTACAGTAATCCAGTGTGGGTGGAGGAATAAAGTAAATGAAATAAAATCCATCATTTGTTGATAATAATTGAACCGGATGATGGGTAAACGGAGAGTTTATAATAGTATTATATCTAATTTTTATGGATGCTTGAAATCTTGTAATAAAAACCATATGTATTTTTTTTCTATCTTTCACTGTTTAGAATCTAAACTTTAGAGCAATAGAATAACCTTCCTAGCATGCTCAATGATTTCATACAGGGACTATCTTTGTGAAATGTTTGGTTGAAAAAAACACCTTCCTTGTCTGAATCTGGAACGGAGTTACATAGATTACTGCTGTTACAGATGTTAATTTCTGATAAAAATCGGACTAGCAAAGGAGATTAGATAGTTTGTCTTTACTGGCTGGCTTTGTCAGTCAGGGACCCGTCAGGAAAAGTACACCAGTTATTTTAAAAGAAAATTTAATAGAAGGACATTGTGTAGCAGGGGTTGGAGAACTACAGTGACAAAAACAGGATACTGAGGTAAGAAAGTAATAGTAACTGCAAGAAGCAGGTACCACCTCCTGTTCCCAGGCCCACTGGGAGGCTCCGTTGTTTGCTGTGGGGGTTCACAGGACCCAACCTCGGGTTGTACTCAGCTCTGACTTTTTACGTGAGCGGATACAAAGGAAAATCAGTCCAGGGAAAAGGATCCCAGTCCGTGGGATGTCTGGGGGAGCCAGGTGCAAGCTTCACAGGTCCTTTCCCAGCGACTTCCGAGAGCCACAAAGGACATGCTTAATTCTCCTGACAAGTTCTGTCATGTTGCCAACCAGAGACTGTTGCCAACATTTGAGGCTCTCTGCCCAGGGTTTTTGTTTGGAGCTGATCACATAGGCACCCTCTACCTGGCACGTACCCAGATTTCAGGCTCCACAAGGAAAGCTGATGTTCCGCATAAACCGTATTGCTGGCACAGTTCAGGCACAGCGAGACAGTCTTCCTGGTTGTGGAGATGAGGGGGACTCTCCTGAAATCCAAGGTACATGCCCTTGACCGGAATCGAACCTGGGACCCTTCAGTCCACAGGCCGACGCTCTATCCACTGAGCCAAACCGGTCAGGGCACAAGTAGTACATTTTGTTGCAATGTCCTTAAAAGTGCTTTTGTTGCTGTAGTCAGTTTGGCTTAATGGTTAGAGCGTGGGCCCTCAGACTGAAGGGTTTCGTGTTCAATTACAGTCAAGGGCACATACCTTGATTGCAGGCTTGATCCCTGCCCAGTCTTGTGTGCAGGAGGCAACCAATCACTGTATTTCTATCTCCTTCCCTCCCTTTCCACTCTCTCTAAAAATCAATGGGAAAAAAAAATTAACAAACAAAAAAAGTGCTTTTGTTACATTAGCAAGTTCTACTAACATCTGGATGCCGTTGGTTTAGGCCAGGACACCTGCCCTCACTTAAAGCCGTCAGTCACTCTCTTATTGTCACCTCACCTCATTTAAATCAAGCCCATTTCCTTTCACTCATATTTTCCCCTTTTAGTTTTAGGATTTTTTTAAAAATTATATTTTTATTGATTTCAGAGAGGAAGGGAGAGAAAGAGAGAGATAGAAAATCAATGATGAGAGGGAATCATTGATTGGCTGCCTCCTGCAGGTTGGACTGAGCCCACACCCAGGCATGTGCCCTTGACCTGAAGAAGGGTCCGCAGGCTGACACTCTATCCACCGAGCCAAACCGGCTAGGGTGGATTATTTTTTCTTAATAGAAAAGAAACAAAAGAATTGGTGAGTTCACTTTGTCTTCTGTTATATTGAACCATCCAGCTCAAGCAACAGAACTAGTTCATTATTCTTGCTCCACACAAAAACCTTTTTATTTTCCTTAGCATTTTATCATTAAGCCTCAGCTCACTGAAAGTTTAGCCTTTCTTACACTACTCAGTTAGATTTCTGCCACTTTTAAATTGCTTTTTTCCACTCAAGAAAATTTTATTTTTCTCTTTTCCCAAGTTAAGTTTACAGCCTGCTAAACATTTTACCCAAATGTGGGAAAACTGCCTGGAGATACAAAACTCAACAAAATAATTACATGGAAAGAACAAACAAAGATATCCATTAAAGCAAAGTTCAGAGAGGAAGGGAGAGGGATAGAGAGAAACATTGATGAGAGAGAAATATTGATCAGCTGCCTCCTGCACACCCGCTACTGGGGATGTGCCTGCAACCAAGGTACATGCCCTTGACCGGAATCAAACCTTGGACCCTTCACCTGGGACCCTTCAGTCTGCAGGCCGACGCTCTATCCACTGAGCCAAACCGGTTAGGGCCCCTCTCAGTTTTTCAAGCATCTTCAAAAGATAGGAAAACCTGTAAAACAGAAATCGGATGCTTAATCTGAAGGGTGGTCAGAGCAAGATCTATTCCAACTATTTACATATCAATGCAATCTTTGTGATGTATGTGTAGACCACGAGTCATGCAACAGTATCTCCCTTGTGCATGTCAAGGCCTAGTGCACCTTCCCCAGCATCCCTGGGTGCGTCCTTAGTTACCAGTTTACTATAAAAGGATACAACTCAGGAACAGCCGACTCAGGGTGTGGGGCCAGGTGTGTGGAAAGGGAAGGGCTTGGAGCTCCCTTGTCCTCCGAGTGCCCCATCTCCCCAATGCCCCGTCTTCCCCAACCCGGAAGCTCCTGATTTATGTTTCTTAGGCAGGATTGGGAGGCATTTCATCAGGGTTAGTGCTGGTGACCAGTGGTTTTCTAAGAACCTATACAGTGAAAAGGCTTTACAATGTACAAGGTGGCAGAGTTCCTGCTGTGTCACTTAGTAACTGTGTGACCTTGCACATTTTATATGTAACCCCCCAACCCCCGAGCGTACCCTCTCATTTTAAGTGGGATTAGGAACAGTTGCCCGCTTGAATAGTGTTTGGGAACATGTTGTAAACAAAACTCCTACCCAAATGGTAAGTACTTATTGAAAACAAAAAAGACTGTGAATTACAGCGGCAGAATGAATGTTCCCGCAGCGAAGCACTGCCGCAGCTAAGGGAAGCCTCTGTCTGACCCCCAGCCGCCTCCCCGGGAACCTGGGGCGAGGGGAGGGGAGGCCGGAGCCTTCCTCTCGCCCGGGAAGCCTTGCTTTTTATTTTTATTTTATACTTTTAAAAATATATTCTATTGATTTTTCAGAGAGAGGAAGGGAGAGGGATAGAGAGTTAGAAACATCAATCAGCTGCCTCCTGCACACCCCCTACTGGGGATGTGCCCGCAACCAAGGTACATGCCCTTGACCAGAATCGAACCCGGGACCCTTCAGTCCGCAGGTCGACGCTCTGTCCACTGAACCAAACCGGTTAGGGCAAGCCTTGTTTTTTACGTGGCCGTGCTTGACTGTTCTCGTAGAATCGCTCCTCCACGGCAGTTACTCGGGGGCACCACGGCCCCTCCGGCCAGTCCCGCCCCGGGTCCCCCACAAACGCCGCCGGGCGGCCCACCGCTGGCTCCTCCCCCACCCACAATGCAC